TCATTCTCACTAATACATACAGTTCGATAATATTGGGTCACGTGTTTAGTGAACATCTTAGAGCAGGTGCTGCTATCGGGTGAACCGTAACCCGAGTCCAGCATTAGCTGCGATACGTGCGACCAAAACAACTCCTGGTTATCAATAGTCAACGGACCCACAGTTTCAACCGTTTTGTCAACACCGCGGCACAGGTGGGTAAAGACGATCACATCCTGGTGTGTGATTTTGGCACAGATGGTACGCAACGCACCTAGTTCGCCCGTATTTGGGCACGATTCTGGCCACATTCCAGCGATGAGCGTTGACTGTGAGGGCTGCGAAGCTGACGGCACCGGTAATACTATATCATTTAGTTTGGTCAGGTGCTGAAGCTCGTCGATATAGATGCTTGTCTTACACCTGTGCGCAAACAATTCACGCAAACGTGCGATTTCACGGCACTCGGCGTCCGACACAACTGACTCGGGGTTAAACACATGTAGCGTGTAAAACATGGGAAACGCTATGCAGGCCTTATCCATATTACGGCCCGATTCCAATATCTGAAATAATTGACAACAAAAAATTACCAAGGTTGAATTAAACACATTTATTTTACCTTTTTATATAAGTCTAGAGCGTTTTGCAAATAATGTTGACACAGTTTTTTATCCGCGACGTGTTTATTATTAGTGGGCATATGTGCGGCCACCCGTTCCCACTCGGTCTCAGTCATAGGCCTACCATCAGTGGGCCGGTGTTTGTCCACCAGTTGTAACAATTGGTTTAACGCAAAGTGATTTGCGGCCCTAAAATGCCCGGTCCTAAACCACACACCTTTCACCTTAATAATGGTCGTCATGTACGGCAAGTGCGGGGAACTGGTGTTAACCGTAAACTGTTTGCCCGTCACTGGTAGTCCCAAGTAATCAATCGGGTTCTGTTCACTACTACTGCTCAGTGCCCAGGATCTGGTCTATAGGGGCTGCCTTAGACTCATGACATGGTCTGTCCCGTTCCCGGCCACTGGCACTTCGTTGACCAGTGGACCAGATATGAGACATTTGCCGCATTTCTCGTCAAACAATCGCTTCAATTCGTTGAGTTTTGCTAAATCTTTGGCAGTCATGAGAAAATAGGGTACAAATGAGTCCATTGTGTTGAACAGGGGGTAAACGGTGGCCGCCGTCTCCCGGTTCGGACAGTTCGCCAAAGTCTGCACATTAAATATAAATAACATAAAAATTAAATAACGGTAACAAAACAAACCATAAAAATACCTTTTTATATAATTTCAATGCATTATAAAAGTAATTCAAACACTTTTCGTAATTCCAGTCATTGAAACCATTTCTGGCCATTTGGTTGACCCAAATGTCCGCATCGTTTTGACCGGTACTTGACTTCAATATATGCATTAACCGTATGATCGCCCGGTGATCGGTCAACATAAACGACATACCCGTCACCCATACTGTGCCCACACATGCAGTGAATGTAATATATGCCATGTGTGGGGAACTGCCGGTTGTGGCAAAATTTTCCGCATTGAGTTCAACGTCCAGATAGTTGATGGGCGCCGAGGGGTGAGAGCCCGGCGCTAATGGCGAGGGTATAGGTGTGGACTCAGGCGATAATCTAGGTATAAACTTTGGACATCGAATCTCCACTCCTTTATCGGCCGCAACATCACTAACACGAGCACCGGTACGGGTGGACAGCCCTAGCAATTGCGTCACATAATAGACGGCGTTTGTCATAACCTTTTTGAATGAGAACCAGCTTTTATATAAGGCCTGGGCTATAGATGAGTTAGAGATGGTTGCGATGGACTGACAGGCATTGTCAACAGTGGGCTCAACTATGATGCCATTTTCGGTGTTAAACTCTTTAATCACATTTTGGGGTAATTTTTGTGGCAATTTTTGCGGCGATTGATGTATCAGTGATTGAGATCCCGGTGCCCACAGGGTATTACTATTAATCTCACTATTAGTGCACACACTTTGGGAACAACAATCACCAGCGGTCGAGCCCTCTCTCTCTCCTCGTAATCATTAATACTGTCATAACATTTGTTGATATAGTTTTCACTTAAGTTGAGTTCATTTTTCTCGTACTGTATTTTATGGCTGTATTTGTGGCCAACATTTGAGTCCCGATTAATGCCTAAACCTATGGACTCGTTGTTCACTGTCTTCGGCCGCACCCGTAGTCGCGACAGGTTTTCAATCAAATAGTCATCACTCGGTATAACACAATATACTTTAAAATCGGTGTCAAATACCTGTTTAAACAATAATGTTTTAATTATATTAAAAATTAAATAAAACTAAATGAGATATGTTTATACTATATGAGCACACAATACATGTGTTTTAAGGCATACCTCGAAGACATGGGTATTGGATGTGATGTTGTGTTTGATTTGATTGCAGATTTCATTGTAAACCTCATTAAAAGGCAATACAACCGCACTTTTAATACGAATGCAATAGTTTTCACATCCATTCAAATCGACCAATACTTTCATTATTAATTAATTGTTGTGTTTGTGTTTAGTTGACAACAAATATGATTGCATTAAAAAATATACATACAGTATACAAATGTAAATGATTACTGTTTTATTCAAACAATACTACATTGTATTTTAAAAGTTCAGTAACAGTGACAACATGTTTAAAATGGCAAAACTATTATTTTTCAAACTTATATTATTATTAGTACAGTCTTTATCAACCTGAATAGTGTAAATTTTAACCTAATGACCATTCTATATTAATGTAAATGTTTTTAATAACTTTTACCTTTACTTAATAACTTTTTTCAATTGAGATTTAACAATTGCTATAGACAGGTGCTTTAATTGTCTAATTGACCAAGGTCTCATATTTGATAAATTATATGTATCAAATTAAATAAACAATGAATTTTATTCAACTAATTTGAAAATAACTAGAATATATTACAAGTAACCATTAATTGTCATAATTCTTGAATTTATCGCGTAATGCTTTAATATTTTTATACGATTCGTGTTGTATTGATTGACTCAAATCCATGGCATATATTATTGAGAAATATGGATATGTTTTCACAGCTTTCGTATAATTTGTCAAATATTTTAACGCCTATTGAAAATAATTAATATTAAATAAGTTAACAACATTTCATCTCATTCACTCACTCACTGTTATTATAACTATGAATACTTACAATCTTATAATATTTGGTCACGTGATCGGTAAACATCACGCGACAGGTGCCCTTAGTATATGTCCGGTAACCCGACGCCAGCATTAGTTGCGATACGTGTGACCAAAACATTTTTGGATTCTCTGTTAGCGGACCCACAGTTTCAACCGTTTGGCCCACACAGTGGCACAGGTGAGTAAAGGCGAGCAAATCCTCCCGGGTAATTTTGGCACATATTACATTAAGCTCACGCAGTTCATCAGTTTTGCTACTGTGATTAGACGGGAGTGGATGTGGTGTGGAGTTGGAAACACTGGTGGCTGGCACTGGAGGTCCAGTGCCGGGCATCTCTAAATAGGGAGCTGTCCGACACTTGTTAGCAAACAATTCACGCAAACGTTTAATTTCACAGCACTCGGCGTCCGACATCACACACTCCGGGCTAAACACGTGTAGCGTATAAAACATGGGGAACGCTATGCCGGCCCTATCCATGTTTGGGCACACCTCTAGTGTCTGCACAAAAATAAACAAAATAAGTATTAACTTAGTTATTCTATTTAAATTATACACCCAGTATATTTATCCACCTTTTTATATAAGTCTAACGAGTTTTGCAGATAGTTTTGACACAATTTCGGGTCAAACAATACATCGGCTTTATTGGGATCCCTCACGCGGGGCATACCAGCGGCCACTCGTGTCCATTGGATCTCAGTCATAGGCCTACCATCGGTGGGCCGGTGTTTGTCCACCAGTTGTAACAGTCGATTGAGTGCCGAGTGATTGGCTGCCCCGAAATGTCCTGTCCTATACCATAGGTCCCTAACCTTAACAATAGACGTCACGTACGGCAAGTGCGGGGAACTGGTGTTTACAGCAAACTGTTTACCCGTCACCGGTAGTCCCAAGTAGTCAATTGGATTTTGTTCACTACTACCGGCCGGTGCTAACGTCGGCCCGACCTTCGGTTTAATAATGTCCGGCACCGGTAGGCTCTTAGCTACGACACCGGTGTTTAATAGTGCATCTATATTATGTAGTGCGCTATATACCATGTATTCATTGGGTGAGGTACAGCCCTGGCTAACTATATCATGTATTGTTTCAGTAGAGCTCAGAGTTGGACAGGGAGTGTCGGCCTTTCTATCGTTAGTTGTGTCGACACATTCGCCGCATTTCTCAGTAAACAATCGCTTCAATTCGTTGAGTTTTGCTAAGTCTTTGGCAGTCATGAGAAAATAGGGTACAAATGAGTAGGAGTGTCGGCCTTTCTATCGTTAGTTGTGTCGACACATTCGCCGCATTTCTCAGTAAACAATCGCTTCAATTCGTTGAGTTTTGCTAAGTCTTTGGCAGTCATGAGAAAATAGGGTACAAATGAGTGCATTGTGTTGAATAGGGTGTAAACGGTGGCCGCCGTCTCCCGGTTCGGACAGTTCGCCAAAGTCTGAACAAAAAATAGATTTAAATAAAATATTAAATATTATATAAATTTAAACACAAAAAATAACCTTTTTATACAATTTTAATGCACTGTAAAAGTATTTCAAGCACTTTGGATAATCCCAACCATTGAAACCACTGTTAGCCATTTGTTTGACGATAAGGTCCGAGTCGGTGGCACCGGTACTCAGTATTTGCATTAACCGCATGACCGCCCGGTAGTCATCGCGAGCGAACCGCACACCGATCACCCATACGTCGGCCACACATGCAGTGAATGTAATGTACGGCATGTGTGGGGAACTGGCGTTTGTGATAAATGTGTCGGCATTCAGGTCAACGTCCATATAGTTGATGGGCGCCGAGGAGTGAGAGCCCGGCGCTAATGGCGAGGGTATTGGTGTGGATACAGGCGATAGTTTAAGTGTAGAAAGTGTATTTTGAATCTCTGGTAGTTTGCCGTCTCTGTTCACCCCCTCATCGGCCACACCATCACTAACACCAGTGCCGGTACGGGTGGACAGCCCTAGCTTTTGTTTCACATAAAAGCCGGCGTTTGTAATAATGTTATTGAATGAGAAACCGCTTCTACAAGACGTTTCGGCTTCGGTCGGGCTAGTGTTAGCTACGGGTGCGATAGACGGACTGGTGATGATGCCCTCCCCTGTGTTTATAACTATGATATCGTTTTCAGTGTTAAACTTTTTAACCAGATTTTCGGGCAATTTTTGTGGTAATTTTGGTGGCGTTAAATGAGACGGTGATTGGGGTTCCGGTGCCCACAGAGTATCGCTATTACTATCACTATTAGTGTAGACACTTTGGGATGTGTTGTCACCTGCAGTCGAGCACTCCTTCTTCTCTATGTCCTCGTTATCAGTGAAACTGTTTTCACTTAAGTTGAGTACATTTTTCTCGTACTGTATTTTATGGCTGTATTTGTGGCCAACATTTGAGTCCCGATTATTGCCTAAACCTATGGACTCGTTGTTCACTGTCTTCGGCCGCACCCGTAATCGCGACAGGTTTTCAATCACGTGTTCATCGCTGGGAATAACGCAATACTTGTTGAAATCAGTGTCAAAAATCTGTTAAAATTTTTAAAGTAAAAATGAATTATTTGTACATTAGAGACATGTATAGACAATATGTGTATTTTAATGCATACCTCAAACACATGGCTATGAGATGTGATGTTGACAAACTAAACAAACGCCTAGAGTAACATCTGGACTAACTTCCCGTTGTGTTGGCGTGATAGGCATGCTAGCTATGCTTACGATATCAAAAGTGTAGGTAAGTTTAGCTGGTTATCTTTCATTATTATGTCATTTAGTCTTCACTTTTGTTCACAATAAACAGCACTTCATTATAACCGTTACAAACACTTAAATAACACACAGTATTTCAAAACAGACTTCTTATAAAAAATGTTTGAGAAAAAACACATTATTATTGAGAAATTAATAATGTTTTGACGGCACACACTAATTTGCCCCGTGCCCTACTTGCCAGGGCAGACGTTAACGTGTGCCCTACTTGCCAGGGCAAACGTTGACGTGTGCCCTACTTGCCCGGCATAACCGGAGAAACTGTATTAACCAAATATAATGTGTCCAGCATATTCGTGCCTATATTCTACTTTATCATGATAAAAGTTACACCATTGTAAATATGTGAAAAATTAAAAAATCAAATATAGTTTATTATAATTATTAATATTAGTTTAATTAAAAATCAGTTTATTAAAATAATACAAATATGTTATAAAATCTTTTACATTAATTCATATATTTGCTTAATACAGTTGTCCCGGATATGCTGGACCGATTATATTTACTTAATACAGTTTTCCGGTAATGCCGGGCAAGTAGGGCACACGTCAACGTTTGCCCTGGCAAGTAGGGCATACGTTAACGTCTGCCCTGGTAAGTAGGGCACACGTCAACGTCTGCCCTAGCAAGTAGGGCACGGGGCAAATTAGTGTGTGCCTGTTTTGACAACATATTTAAAAGTGTAGATTACTTTTAAAACTTACAGTTTCTCGTTTGGGTATTTATCTCTAATAGACATGCTCTGTGAACAGTTAAACCTGTATCACGATTCATGAATTACTATTAATGTACTGTTATTAAGTTATTTTCAATTCACATTCATACATGTTGTTTCCATGTAAAAATATATACAGGTATTATACGTAGATAATTTAAATTTAATTTAATAATTTAAACTTTATTTGGTTTAAATTAAATAATATTATAATATATAATTATGTAATTGATGAATATAGTACAAATATTTTAATTTAAAAATTAGTTTAAAAATGATATAAAACAATAAGTTAAAATTCAAGACACCTTATTACAGTGACTGATAAAATTAATTTTAAAATTATTTATCAACTTATAATTACTATTAGTGTAAAAACTAGTGTCACGATTTTTGTGGTAGGACATATATACTTTACATAGAAATGGTAATAGTGAAATATTGGAAACTTTTAGGGATCTCGCTGAACATTTAGGCTAAATTTTTAGTCACTATACTACCACATCAAATAATTACTACATAAATCACTAATTTTTGTAATTTAATCTAAATTAATTAATATTATGTAAAATTTTATTTTGTCATTTTTAAATTTTACAATTGTAAACTAAAGAATATTCCAATAAGCAAATCACCAGATACTTCCAAGTAACTTTCTGGCTAACCATGGTAATTATTTGCGGTCAAAATGTCTTTTGATTTTAACCTTAATTTTCTAGAAATTTGTTGACTTTAACCCTTGATTAACCTGATAAAACGGTTAACCCTCGATCAACAGCCAACACTACGCGAAACTTTTTACGTGACGTCAAGATATAATCTTAATTATAAAACTCATTAAATAAATGTTATTAAATTATAAAATATGGGAAATAAATTTTAATGTCAATTTAAAATTGCCATTTATATAGTATATTCATTTATTTATACAACAATTGACTGCGAATAATGATGGTGGTACGCGTGGCGTTAATTTTATCCATTTGTTAGTATTAATTGTAAACATAAAATTAATTTATGATAATTAACATAAAATTTAATGAAATCGTTAAAATTAACAAAATTTTAGTTGGCAGTGTTATGAGTTCAATGATAATTAGTGAAAAAGACCTTGACAAATTGTCCAGACCAGTTCTTGGTTTTGGTGATCCCGATAACCCACTGGTTTATAAAGCAGCGCAATTGAAAGCAGTTTGTATGGCGTAGGTCAATTTGCATTTATCATAATTCATATAATAAAATTATTTCCAATATTATAATTCTCTCTCTCTCTCTCTCTCTCTCTCTCTCTCTCTCTCTCTCTCTCTCTCTCTCTCTC